ATATAAAGATAAAGTAATATTTGATACCCATCAAGTATTTTTTAAATATTTTACTCACGTTATATCATATAAGAAGTCTAGAAAATAATTGTTGCAAGTAGATCTTTTCCAAAAGTTAGATATATAGAGTGTAATTGTATTTAATCATTGGATTTTGTTATAAATTTTTAAGCTTTCACTTGTACCACTTTTCTTTTGAGCCCTTCATATAATGCAGCTTATACAACATAAATTGAAAAGTAAGTTCTTTTAAAGTTTTAAGAGTTTCATTGTTCAGACGCTTATAGTTAAGATCGTTAAAGGCTTTAGGAAGGTAAGAGTTTCATTTTATAGGAGGATTTTGACGCTATAACGTCATTGCATTTTGCTTTGTCACAGTTAGTGATACGTTAATATCAGGGTGCTTAAGACCTGTCTGCTTGAATTAAGAATTCTGACGTTAAATTGTACAGCTTAAGTATGTTTCACTATGACTATTATGCCTGTATATTTAATACAGACAAAGGTAGTTACGACCACCTCTGTTGTTCAGTACTGACTGCTATACGTTCAAGTCGTTTATCATAAATCATTAGGTACAGATTTCAATCATCATTTCAGATTTAAATCGAAGTTTCTATTCAAATCCAAAATGGATTTACAAAATATAACAAGGAGAAACTATTTTTACGTTATGTTAATTGCATAAGTCTTCGCGTTACGTATTTAACATATCTGCTCCAAATCTTTCAGGAAGCACAGGATATCCCTAAACGAAGAGGATCCATGTCTACTAGAGGAAGAAACTGTTCATCACATTCCCTTAGAACTTATTCTGCCACGGTTTCCTTATCTCAATGAAATTCGCATTAATTTCGGGCTCGTTTACATGAACGACGGTTTCGAGTGGAGAGACTTCGAGTGAGTCGCTTTTCCAAGCCACAGCTTACTTTAGATATTCAGTATTTCTCAAAGACTGATTTATGTGCATAAAAAAAAAGGATTTCCATTGAAGATTGTATGGGTTTTGGTCGAGGGATTAAGGCTTGTCCAAGATTGAGGAAGTTTACTTTGACTAGGAGCAATCTGGACCAACCCCGTATCGCGGCTCTTCTCCAAGGAATGGTGGAAAACGATAATGTTAGTATTATGACGATAAAACTAAATTCACAGAGAATTATATGGTTTAAATAACTTTGCTATTCCCGATATCTGAAATCGTCATTGTACATGTATTAGTTTTAGAAGAAATAGAGTTAAAAGAAAAGTGTTCTACAACTACTACAACTTCTAGAAGATAAAAATCATAGTACTTTCTATTTTAATATCCAATTTTTTTTTAATGAGATTTTATAAAATCTTATTTTTTATTGTTGAAAATAAGATACGTCTTAACGTATATACAAAAATTAATCTATCAGGAGAAATACATATATCTTTAAACTATGCGCCTAAGAGGTTCCGGAAACGCGTGAAGTGTTTATTTTACACATTAGATAATATTTAGGGGACCAGGACGTGCTGCAATCGTATATCTTTTCTTCTTCACTCTAGTTTTGACTCTTTACGCGAACAGTTAGAATACTTGAGATATACCTTCCTTAGGAGAGAATAAAGATAATTATAAAATACAGATATTTATTTCTTTTTACCCATAATCCCAATATTTATAATAATCTACTTTTAATATTTTATCTCTTACAGTAATCTGCCTTTGACATTTGATGTCTTTATTCCCTATTTTCTTAATATCTTATCTGTCATGATATAAAGTTTTACCATGTTATTTTCTAATGTTCTATTTTCTATAATGCTTTGCTTCTGATACTTTATTCTTCAAAACTCTATTTTTTATAATATTCTAATTTTTTGTAAACTATTTTTAATACTTAGTATTTTTAAACCAGATAGAGGAAATAGACCTTTCGCACTGCAAACTGGCAGATAAAGGAGCTCAGGCAGTCGGTGAATTTCTCTCGCTACACAAAAATTTGAAGACCATACACTTAGCGAATAACGACATAGGGCCAGAAGGAGTGGCCGGTATAATCTATGGGCTGCTGAAGGCAGAGCACGCGATACTAAAGCATTTGAATTTGAGACTGAATCCTGTGCTAGACGACGGGGCATCCCACGTGTGTGCTTGTAAGTGTACAAAGTATTGGGTTGCTAACTTTATCCTCTTATGAGTCAATATTTATACTGTCTATCGTATTGAAGCCGTGACGGTGATTGTATCTCGTAGAACTAACATCGTGCACATTTTCCGTCCTGTTGATCTCCAGCGTGTTTCAGCCGGAAGTTATATACATTGGATATCTGTTTGACTTCTGCATCTGGTCGAATAGTCCATGATTTAGAAATTAGATCATGTAGATGTATAGTATTACTCCTTAATATTTGATAAGATACTTTGGCAGAAAAATGTTATACCAGAATGGATATATAATAACGTGAGGAGGGGAAGTCGGTGTTGAATATTTTTCTAAATAAATTTTTCAATATTTTTTTGGCCCTTTTACCTAAAAAAATATGTATAATAAATATAAAATTCAGAACTATAGCCACGATAAATTATATTATACATTCTATGTTAGAAAAAGATATATCTCTTACTGTCTCCTAAAAATTCAAATGAGAAAAATGTTGCAATTGAAATTTAATAATAATTTAAGAAATTATTAATATGTATCATAATTAAATTATACAAAATTATTTCTGGTATGCTATACCCAGTTAGATCCTAGGTCCTCGGTAAAGAACATTGAAAATTGCATTTCGTAGAGTTCATTGTCTGTGTTGGTTTTAGATCTGCTAAGAAACGAAAGTTTGGAAGTTCTCAATCTGAGTGCTTGTGGAATAGGAACTGCAGGAGGTGCTGCATTGGCCGATGTACTGGGTTCTGGTTGCATCAAGTCCGAGAGTTTGAATCTCGACGTGTCAAACAATGATTTTAACGAAACGAGTAAGATGTTCCTAATGAAAGTAAATAATAAAAATCAGTAATGATATCAGCAATAATTAAAAATTAAATTAACAGTTATTCAACGTGTAAAATGTTTAAAAAACAGAAATGTTCAAATTTTCTTTTGATATTTCGTGGCATTTCATGGAAACTTTCTGTTAGGTGCCTTATAGTGATAAAAATCCCCTTGATTTATTTTTTACGACTTATTTATCAATTAAAAGAAAAGTATTGGTTAAATATGGTAAAGGGAATAACATTTTTATACTTGTTTTTATTAAATTTAGATGTGATTGTAAGTATACAATAATTTTAAAATATCGCATGGTTTTAGTTGGAGAGCAATTTGAGGCAGCTTTGAAAAACGCTCCGTTCATAGTGGCATTCGAAGCTCGAATGTGCAATTTCTCCAAACAATCGGAATACTCGATCTACGAGGCGGTAGTTAGGTAAAAAAAGGGCGATGCATTTCGACAAACAATGTTTTAACAGCATTCGTTATTTTTCAGGAGTAAACAGCAGAAAAGGAAGGAGAAAACAAAAGAGATACTGAACACAGCACAGAAAATTTCCATTGATTCGTCTACTTCTATGTAACTGATTGCAAGCTAATGTACTAAACATAGATTACATAAAACCAATGAATAGTAAAATGTAAGCTTACATAAAAAATGAAATCAGAATAAACAAATAAAAGTAATAAAGAAATAAAAAATATTATAAAAGGGGGTAAAAAGTATGACTTTATATAATAAAAATATAAAATGACGTAGAATTAAAAAGAAACATGCATTACATAAGGAATATAAACGAGAAAAATAAAAGAAGATATGTATTTTCATTTGATACCTATAATATAGTTAATATTTCGTAGAAATATTAAAATAATCGAACTAATTGCACTGGTTTCTTATAAATGCCCACGGGAAACAATGGAATCTTAATGTTAGCGATATAACCAACATTTCTGCATAATATTCGATTACAATAATTCTATTCTATTCGGATTTTTGGTCGAAATCTGAGGAAGTACGGCGAAAATGACCGTCGCAATGGAGAAGGACTAATGAAAGAGTTGGCAACAAAAGAGCAGCGGAACGAGGGTGCAGCTACTTCGAGGAAGTTATGCGAGAGCCGTGAGCACGGTAAATTGCGGCAGAAGTAGGCCAGAGCTAAGACTTTTTCCATTATTAAGACGAACGGATGCGGGGGAAAAACAGAAGGTCCAGTTTCATGCAATCCTAGAGATATTCTTTCGCGCCGTTTCCCGCGGAAGGAAAACAGATTTAATCCTGCTCTCTACCCTTCTGCATGTTTGAATCCGGAAAAATAATCTCAAGATCGAGCTATGTCACATCTTTGGAACTTAAATGTTAAAATCGATTAATTACTCAATACTCCAATGTATATAATTTTGTATTTTGGAGAATAAGGATAATCTTAATTAGAAATTGACTGAAACAACATACTTTTTGTTATTACTTACAAAGGATGCTGTTTATTATTATTTTGTGGGTATGCACCTTGATTGTACAATCTTATTTTAATTAACGTTTTATGGTATATGAAACAAATTGTGAATTTGTGTAATAAAAAGTACATTTTTTATAAATGTTGATAAAAAAGAAATAAATTTAGTTAATTAGATTCTTCCAAGAGATATTTATAATCAAATTAAGGAACCAAAGGAACAATTTACACAATTTAATGGTGACATGTTTCTACAGTAAAGTGAGTCTCATGAAAT